ATTTATTTAAAAATTTATTTATTTGAACAAGCGTATTCTATTTTATGCTGTTCACATTTCAAAACCAAAGAAAATACTCAATTACGATTATTACTGATTTAATAAAATTATCGAGTCATTATTCGTGTTTCTGCATATGTATTTTTGCATGAAAAAATAGTTTACTACACTCACGAAAAATGTCAATTTCAACGTTTAAGTAATAAGAATTTTTAACAAAATTTACGTACAAAAATTTTATCTCTTACATTATTGTGAATTAAAGCTGTATTTTTGTGATGATTTTTTATAATAAAATCTGCAATTTGATACACAATAAAATAAATTTATATTTATGCAAATATTTTCATTCTTACAATGCAGTAATTAATTAGTTAGTAATGGTTGATTAATTTCTTGAATGAGTGATTACATTACTAAAAATTAGGTAATAAGTTCTGATGAAAACTAGTACGTCAAATATATATTATGTTATAAAACTAAAAAGATAAATTTTTAACATAAAAACATACTACTTAGTTTAGTGTTATGGTGAGCAAGATTAATAGCCTTAATGGCTAATCAATACAAACCGTCAATCAAAACAATTACGGAAATTTTAATTAAAACTATTTATAAAAATTGGTATTTGGTATACTATAAAATTAATAAATACTTCTAAAAAAATTTTTTCAATAATATATATATCCACATTTTCGGCGAATTTCAATATCAGAATATAACCCTTTTTTATCCTCCATTTAAGTTTCACACAGACATTTTTAACCTTAAAAGCCATTCAAAAGCTTATTTCTTAAGCTTATTTAAATTATTCATAAAATATTCAAAGAAGAATGCTCACTGTCAGGGCGAGAAAAATAAAAGCACTACCACCGCACTTCCAAGCCTGTTTGGCGTCAATTTGAGCTTTACCGAATGGATATGAATATTCATACAGGGATCTTTGCCAGCCATCTTTAATTAGGTGTTTCCACTATTTCAATTTCTAAACACACTCTTTGGTTAGAGTACACACTCTCTCTTCCATTCTAAATTAACTGTCAAATTAACCCAAGCCCTAAGAGTTCCGATGCTTAAATTTAGCTCTTCAATTAGATATTCATGACCGGTGTAATAAGGTTCATTTTTGTGTACTTCTTGCAGTGTTCTTTAAAAAGGGAAGTAATTTTCGAAATTTAAATGCATTTATGTTATTTAGTTTTTCTAAATGAAAAATTTAGTTAAAAAATAAAAATAAATATTTAATATTCAGATATATATTTTTAATAGCCTAACAAAATATAATTGTGACAAGTATGGTGAAGAATGTGAAAATTTTTTTTTAAATAAATGAAATAAAACTTTTATTGGACAATCAAACTATTTTTGACTGTTTTTCATCCTACTTTCCTTAAGAGTGATGAGACAAATTCCAGAACCTTTATTTTTATCTGCTATAAATAACTTTTTGACAACTATGGTGACTTTTTGACAACTACTTTCTAACAAAGTTTCGAAAAATACATTAAGGGCGGTTATTATTGATAATCTTACACATTCTTACTCTTTTGTTTTTAACAATGGATCTTACCCCTTTTTTTCTCTATATTGTACAGGTAACATATATATGAGAACTGTTTTACGTGCTTACTAGTTCTTTATTCAGCAAGGCAATATTTGCGCAGATGTAACACTTGTAAGGTTATCCGTTGCTTGCAAATTCATCCTGGAAGTTAAATATATAGTTTGAAAAATCTTCTTTAAAGTTATTGTGGATTTTTAAATACGCAGTGAGCAAAATAAAAACAGGTGTACATCATGAATTACTTCAGATCAAATGAGTCCCGCAGTGGACTGATCGTTTAGACACGGTTCCCAGCAGATCACCGAAGTCAAGCATCACTGGCTGCAGTCAGTGTGCGGGCGGGTGACCACTTGGATCAGTCTGCGTAGGGACCGAGGGTGTGCAGTATTGGTCCTCGTTAAACTGTGCTACCGTAAAGTGCTCGACTTCGCGCGCAGGTCGTCGGGCTACCGAAGCGGGGGTGCCATCCCCTCCGCAGAGGATCAAAATTGTGATGGCATGTCTTCGGATCATCCTCCGGGATGTTTCC